GACAGACCTGGCTAGCGCCCCCTGCAGCTCCTCCTCCTTCTTGGCTAGCTGGATTTTCAGCTCATCCACCTGTGCCTGGAGCTCAGCAATCTGGTCCTGCAGGTCAGTTGTTTCACCATCAAGTTTCCTCTTGGCCTTTTCCAGCTCCTGCCTAGTCTTCTCTTCCTTCTTCAAGCGTTCTTTTAAGGCAAGAGGAAAGAAGCTCTTCAACGCACCGCATGACCGATGCTGCCACGTGGACACACACTGAGTGCTGCGCTCTGCACACGTGCCAGCTCCCCGTGATGAATGCGATCATGCTGCACTGCAAACATGCACTAGTACAAATTTTAAAAATTGAACCACCTCAACAAAACCAAAATGTGAACTGATCAAAGCTAGGAATAAGCCATTGTGTTCTAAGATACACTGTAGCTTTGCTCAGCCATCAGAAACCCTACAAGATCAAACCAACACAAAGCAATGTAAGGGCAGAATCTTAAGGAGGAAAGTGGGGAGAGCCCAATGTCCCTTCTTGGAAGGGAGCCCATGCTGTAAGTGCCTAATGATCTGGAACCCTCCTGTGTCCAACCCATCACTGTGCCAGCTCCCCGTGATGAATGCGATCATTCTGCAGATACCAGAGCTGTGTTGGTCACTTCCTGACCCCCCTGACTCTGGTGGGAATCCCTGGGTTGAACTTCCCCAAGAACCAGGGCAGAGGTCAGAGGACTCAGTTGTGCACCTTCCCACCCTCCTCAAAAGGGTGACTTGTGGGCCTTTTGTGCTCCAGCAGCACCCACGGCTAAGAGGATGACACAAGCTGCTTAGCGACAGGAAGAACAAATCTTTATTATGGGCACTTCCTTAGCAGAGGGATCATGTATGGGTTAAAATAACTTCATACTAACTCCTTTATCTTTTGCTGATACTAAACAAAAAAGCCAAAACTGAACTCCTTAAGTGTCTTTCAAAAATTCCCCAGGTTATAAAAAACAAACAAACCACACAACTCCCCAGGCTCATTTTCTCTCACCATAAAAGCACATTTGGAAAGGGGTGGGCCCTCTCCTACAGGTGCCTGAGCAGAGCCGTGACGCCAGCCATCAGCCTTCATCTGTCCTATGCTGCGGACATGTGCCTCTACTGGCCAGCATCTAAGGAGAAGTCTCCTGTGCTCTCTACAACGTCCAGCTTCAGTGATTTCTTCTGCAGCAATCCTAATCCTAACTGTACCTTTGCCACCACAGTGAGACATCATCCCCTCGGAAGTTTCTCCTCTATCCTGCCACTTTCTGTGTCAGGGCCATTCCCTTTGTGAGGTGAAACTGAGGCGCCTCACTTGTTTTTGAGATCAGAGACCCAGAACAGCTGACATTCTGTGGGCTTCACATCCATCTGCCAAAGGCAGTGTCTTCTAGCATGGCACCAAAATTTACAAAGTAAAACTATTTTGCTGCTATTCCATGATGAGTACAAAGGGACTGAGCAAGACAAAGTAGGCTGGAAGAGAGCTGCTAGTACGGAAGCCCAGGTGAGGGCCTTTGTCGTCAGCAGTTACTGCATCTCCAATTAAAGTGAAAACTCCACACTTTCATGGCTTCTTCTGAAAGCTCCCCAGCCCCAGACACTGACCTTCCAAGTCTGAGATCATCACTTCTTGCTTATTCCTGATTTTGGCCAGGTTTTTTGCCTTTTCTTCCTCTTCAGCCAGCTGCGAAGAACACTCAGCAATGCGATCTTCCATGAGTTTCTTTTCCTGAATTGAGAAAACTGTTTCAGAAAAGGCATTCAAGATAACAGCATGGGCTTGGGGTCAGGAAAATTAACTTTCTTTGGTGAAGAGAAGAGCAAGTCACACTGGCCCCCTGGGCCACGAGCCTGCGGAGGCCGAGCCCACCGCAGAGCTGGCAGGGGTGGGCACAGGTCACCCGTGAAGGGCAGTGTGTGCAGTGCACAAGGACTAGAAGGTAACTGGTGGATTTAGGGAGTTAAACAGTGTCTTGTGTCTTTAGAAATGTAGACAAGGACAGACTTAATGAGAAAACTAAATAAATGAACCTATAATCTTGAGAATTTTCTGTTGGAGACCTCATTTCAGGGACGTATCAACACAGGTATCTCCTGGATTCTAAAATCAGCTCTGTGGAAAACAAGTCCCTTACTTTCACAAACTTGGAGTTCTGGTCCTCAAGAAGGAGAATCTCCTCTTCCATCTTCTTGATTTTCGCCTCTGCTGTCACCTTCTCCAGCTGCAGCTTCTGCCGGGCCCCTTCCTCCTCGTCTAGCTGCTCTTCCAGGTCCTGGTGAGGAAGAGCCCACGGCACACTCAGCGTGCACAGCGATGCATGCGAACGAGACCCTCCCTTTCACCTTCCAAGGTGAAACAACACGAAACAGACATCTGTTCTGTGCACATGTTACAGTGCAAAGTGGCTTGATCCTTATGAAAGCCAACATGGCCAAGTGTAGCAAGCTTTGAAATTGGGCATTCCTTAAAAAACAACAATTTCATGAACATGCCAGATGTGATTTGTATAAAAACTTATCGTGAAATGTTGTGGTAATAATTAAAAACATGAACATGTTATAAAAAAGGCCATGGTAATTAAGTGTTGGCACATTTGTAATATGGAACAACATTCATATTTTGCAGTGAGTGACACAGGGAATGTGAGCAATACAGTGGTACTACATCAAATTCAACGGCACTTACTCAGCCAAAAAGGCAAGAAAGAAAACAAAACAGCAGCACCCATCAGAGAATTAGCTGGCTCAGTTTCACTGGAACTATCCCAGAATTTATAACCAGGGTATTACTAAAGTTTAATAATCTATTTTTGAATAATGGGTGTATCTTTTGAATAAAGTTCTAGAATTAGAATTGCTGGATTGCAGAGTATGTACCTTTTATATAGCTTTTTTTTTTTGATATTTTATTTTTTTTTATTTGTGTGTGTGTGGGGGGGCCAGCTCAGCCCATCAGGGGGCGGGGCTGGCTGGCATGTGGGGATTGAACCGCAGTCCCTGTGCTCTGCTAAGCTTGTTCTAAGTAGGTGCTTTAGACCACTGAGCCATCTCACCAGCCCCCTTTTATATAGCTTTTATGGTATTCTCCTGGGCTACAATGGGGGTACGTGAAAGCTGTTTGTGCTAAAGAATGAAAGGAAAGTACATGTCTGGCTGATTTACTATGAGTATTTGCTAAGGAAGTAATATGAAAGTGTCTGTGGCTTTGACAAATGTCTGAGCAGTCTGCCTCTTGCAGACATAAGCCGAGGGTGAGAAAATACTAAGGGAGAAGTATCCTGGAGGAAACAGTGGTGGCAGATGCTAACCTGACAGGAGCATCCTGAGAAAGGGTGCTGGTGGGAGGAGAAAAGGGATGGATGAGTCCCGGGCTGGGTGCGGCCGGCGTAACTACCATCTGGCTGGGTATGCAATCGTGCGTGCAGTGTGCTTGTGACTGTAGCTTATATTTTTAAAAATGTAAAAAAATGAAAGTACCAGGAAGGTCTAAGTTGTACATGTGTGCTAAGCATTTCTCATGAAGCAAGCCACTTAGCAGATTCCTGTCCAGTAAGTGGAGAGAGCAAGAGAATTACTAATGGCAACATAAAGAAACAGGGGTCCTTTACAGAATGTTACAGAGCCTGGGGGGTTCTGTTGGTGCCCTATACATAAGGAGTACTCCTATGCAAAATAACAAAGCCAAGTTAAAAAACTTTACTCTAGCTGTGCTTCAAATGAAGGGTAGGTATTCGCAGCCCAGAACGCAGGCCTTCCCCACAGCCAGAAGAATCCAAACACAGCTCCTACTTATTCAACAGATTCATTCAAAAATATAAAATGTAACTCAAAGTGAAAACTCCAGGTAAGTACCTGAATATGTGCTTGCATTTTTTTCTTTTCATTTTGAAGGATTTGGTTTCTCTCTTCTTCTTCTTCCACCCTAGACTCCAGGTCATGGAGAATCTCCTCTAATTCTTGCTTTTTCGCGGCAAGTCTTGCTCTCATCTCTTCTGCTTCAGCAAACAGCTCAGTTTCTGCTTGCAGCTGTTCTGCAAGGATGTTCTTCTCTTCTAGGAGCTGGAATCATAATACAGGGGCTGGTACTGTGATGCACCCCGGTGCGCACACGCGATACGCCCTGCAATGGCCGGCACCCATCACCAAAGACACTGGAGCTAACAATACATCACAGCTCCCGCAAACTTGCAGATATGCTTCCGGTTACGGCAGAATAAGCTAGGTGAAAGTATTTTCGGTTGCTTCTGTTGCCTCAAGTTAACCTGAATAATACATACTAAAGTCATGTCACTTTAAGAATTACGGTTCTATTACAGTTACAAAGGGACAGATAAATGGGAGGGAAAAATTATTTAAATGTTATAAGCCTCATGGTGACTATTAAGGCCTATTTAATATCAAGTGATACTCCTGGCCTGAATCATTAATGCTGTCATCTACTGATACTTGCTGAGCCTGTGTTGTCACTCACCCACAAGGCCACTGGCCTCATCACTGGGGAAGAGGCCAGCAGAGAAGCCTGGTGTCCAGTCATCTCACCTTTATACTCTGTGCTATTTTCTCTCATTGGCTGATAAGAAAAGGTAACTAGGAGCTTCAGCTACAACAGGTGTTAAATGCAAAGTGGACAGTGAACACTGGAACCAGAAACTGAACTCAGGACCTTGCGCTTGCCAGGCAGGGGCTTTGCCGCTGAGCTATGACACCAGCCTGTGTTAACTTATATAAGTGTAACATACAAAGTACAATGCATTTATTAACTGTATTCTTGACATGTACATGCTTTGACAATGAGTGCAAATGCCTCCCATGAAATGGTGACACGGCAGGTGCCGCTGCTATGCAGTGCGGGCGGGTTGCTACCCAGGGGCCAGGCAGGCCAACCTGGCGCAGCGCGTGGCGCTCTGGCTCACACACCTGCTGGTGCTTCCTCTCCATCTCCTCCAGCTCCCCTTCCACCTTTGTCTGCTTCTCCTTCACCTTTAGCAGCTCTTCATCTTTGGCCTGAAGCTCCTCCTCCTGGCGAGTGACTTGCAGGAGAGGCTTCACCTATAACCAGATCACAGTTTTTTTCCATGTCCCGGCAGGGCCTCACTGCCAGAGCGCCCTACTGTGCAGGAAGGCTCTAAAGCGGCTAGCGCCACGCACCTTGGTGAAAACCCGCCACCACTGCCAGTGCCGTAGCTTCAGGTAGGCGGCGCAGTTCCGCTGCAGGACCTTCAGTGCGCTGAGCTGCTGCTGCTTCTTGGCGAAAGCCCTGAAGAACAGTAAGAAAGAGAATGTGAAGGAAAATGCTTTCCTGGCTGCTCACAGGACTTTCCAGAGGCAAGCCCTCCTATGTGGCCAACAGAGGGCGGCCTTCACTTAAACTGTCTGGTGAGGTTGGGGGACAACACATGACAAGGACAGGATGGAACAGGATGAGACAGACAGGACAGGATGGGACAAACACACACTTTCCACTTGAATCTGTTCGACTCTCTGCTCATCGGGCTGCCCAGCATGTGCTGACCCCTGCACATTCTGCCTAGATGCACCCTATACACTTTCCTCTTGCCATGAACCTGTGGATACACGTGTGAGTGCACTGCAGGGGCTGCATAAAACTCCTCATCTCCTGAGGCAGAACAGTGTAGGGGCAGAACACAAAGTCTCTTTCCAGTGTCCCTTTGCTGGTGCTCAGCCCTCCCGCCCCCACTCCATGGGGCCAGCCTTCTCTCCTTGAGTGTTGGCCTCAGGGTCTTCTCCAAGGCCCTGGGCTGAGGGTGCCTCCAACTCCTTTGCTCTACACCTTGTCCCCTGTGGGTGTCCCTTATGCACCACACGGTTCTTCTGAAGGTCCATTGCTGCCTTGGCTCGGCCTCCCACTGGAATACAACTCCCCCAAGGACAGGAACGTGCCATCCCCCACACTCTCTCTTCCCAGGCAGTGCTGAATTCCCCAGTACCCACTCACTTTCTGGCAAGGTAACCTCTGCAGACCGCCTGGAAGAAGATGATGATATCGGTGATTTTCAAATCTCTCTCTTCTTCTAAGTGTGCTAAAACTCCGGCTCTGAAAAATATTTTGCTCTGTCCAATTCTATACAGGTTTGGGTCCAACTCTAAAGCCCGGATCTAAGAGAGAAAAAGGTTGTTTCTTTTTGCTATAGGAAAGATTATGTTAACAGTCAACAAACAGAAAAATGAAGAAAGGCTTACCATTCGTTCACAAGCCTGTTTGCCATCCATGAAACCTTTAGGAATAGCATTGGGAGTTAGGATCTCGTATCTGTAAGACAAGATTCCAAAAACATCTGCCAAAATCTGTGAACACATTTATCTTCTAAGTTCTGCTTAATAAAATGGTATGTAAAATGCAAATTAAGAGCAAGGTGGAGTGACAGCCTGAAGGTTTTTTGCAGATCTAATTTCTATGTCTTATAAAGCAGAAACAAAGTTCATTCTTCCAGACCAAAACTCCAGCCTAAGAGGGTATCATACATAAGTATGGTGTTAAAAATTTTATTTTTTGTTCATTTCCCACAAGAAGTCCACATCCTTATGATGCAAAGAAACTGAGATTTAAATCTGAGATTTAGGTTGCAGTTGACTCGCAGGCACTCAGTAGAATACAGCAAAGGCCGTGAGAGCAACAGTCACGTGCTTTTGTGTAGAGTACTAGAAAATACCCGGTGACGTCCACCCCAGTGCTCGCCTGGGTGTGCACACGGCCACCGAGTGTGCATACCTCACCGCCCATAGCTATGCCTCAGGAAAACCATGTGGCAAAAAGACAGTGGCTAGAGTAAAAGAAGAATCTCTTTTAGTAATAAAAAACAAAGAATATTATCTATCTATATCTATTATCTATCTATCTATCTATCTATCTATCTATCTATCTATCTAATCTTAGATAAGATATAAGAATAGTAAAAAGGGAAGACCCACCAGAGCATTTACTGAACAATGGCCCACAGTTGGGGCCATCTTAGGATATACAACATCAGCGTCTCAGGATGATGGGCCCTGCTTGACCTGGCAGTCCCTACTTATCCCATGCTTTGAAACTGGATTTACAAAAGACAAAAAGGGAAAAAGCAACTAACTTAATTTAATTACTAAGGAAAATTATCAAATAAAATTTTAAACACAATTTCTCATGTTCGCATCAGTTTCTCCTGGACACTGATCATTCTTCCTTGTTTTCTTCTCCATAATCCTTTTCTAATCTATTTTATTCTCTTCTAATCTATCTAACTGTCTTCTTCATTGTGGTTAAAGGACTATCATTGTGTGTACATATATATATATGATGGAAAAAATATACATGAAATATGCATACTCTGTGAAAAAAAAAATCCTAAAATGTTTTTAGGAAGCATTCCTGGATGCTTTTGATTTACTTTTAGTTTCTGCTGTATTTTCAAATTTTCTCAAAAAGAGCATACATTAGTCATCTATTTTAAACCTTTTTTAAAAAAAAATGACTATGTTTACATGGCAGGCAAGATTGTCTGGATGAGTAAACTGTGTTTCCAGCTCTGCCTTGCTCTCCCAGCAAACTCCGAGGGTCTGAGGCCGGGCAGCCTCTGCAGACCCCCCTTAGCTCCTAGCTCACTGCCTTGCTGACAAATAGGCACTCATCTTTCTAGCAGTAAGGACTGTCCCTTCGCTATATATAAGAGGCTGAGTCAAAGGAATAAGACAAATGTTTCCTTATTATACCACAATTTTCAGTCATGTTAAGGTAAGCTTTGACAGACATGAAAAAGGTAAAAACAATACCTTTGTCTGAATTCCTGGAAAACTATCCGGTTGGGAAAGCCCTGGCGACAGATCCTGATGCCTTCCAGGACGCCGTTACAGCGCAGCTGATCCAGCACTAGGTGAGGATCCAGCTTTCCAGCCTGAGCAAAGGAGCAAGTTTCCTGGGTTAATCTTCATAACCCAACCGTGGTCAACTCTAAATGCAGGCATATGTTTTTGTTCACACATACCCGCTTCTCGTGATTTGGAATGATGCAGCGAACAAAGTTGGGGTTTGTGTTCCGGAGAGTTGCCATCAGCTTCGTGAGGGATTCTTTGTAGAGCTGCCCAACGGTGCGAAACATGCCCTTCTTGGTTTTGTACGCAGAGCCAAAAGCTGTCTCAGTCATACCAGTGACTTGATCCAGACCCACAATACGGTCCACTGGTGAGGAGGAAAAGGAAAGGGACTGTGAGCCACGTCTGACTCTTCAGAAGGGGAAGCAAAAACACAGTGATAGTGCAGCGCACAAGCTTTGTGAACAAATGGGAAGAGGTGCCATATAGGTAAGGCAGTCAGCATTTTAGACACTGCACAAGCCGTGGAACCAACAGCCACACACTTATATGGCAGCATACCGCAGTGCTGCTCGAGTCCCAGCTACCACATACCCGCAGGTGCCTTCTACTGAGCTCGGACCAGGATTTCAGTCTTGGCAACATTCTCCCTGCTCCGTTTGCAAGTGTTTGGTAAATAAAAGATCACTGGCAGGCATTATTGATACACAAACTGATATTATAAAAAGTCTCAAAACAGAAAATGGCTCATAAATTATATATAAAAATATGTGACTGTACAAATCTACTTAATGAAGATGCTCAGGGATTAAGGGTCAGAGTTGGCTCTTACTGGTCATCAGATTTTCAGGAAGAAAAGTCATTTGAGTTAGGAACAAATGCAGGAGATTCAGTTACATCAGTTCAGCTTTTGAGTAACGTATAAACTTCAGCTGTTGCCTCAAAGCATGAGTCAAACTCATTAGCGGGCAAAAACACAAAGGGACTCTGTGGAGGACAGCCAGCATCCAGGCTTCCCATGTGGACAGGGCCACACTTGCCCTCAGACACCGCCCTGTCATGAAGGCGGGAGAAATGCTCGCACCATCTGCACAGGCCTCCTCAACCCTCAACTCTTCTTTTACTTCCTGTGAGAGAAGCATATGGAGACCTGGCCCTGGGTAAAGGGCTCCAAGGAAAAGGTCTCAGCTCATTCTTCATTGCACTGAGAAGTTTACCGAAGAGGAGCCCCGAGCCTGGGCGGGGAAGGACTTGCAGTCTGCAGGTCTGGAATACAAGCCGGAGAAGGGTGGCGGGGCCAAGGTCATCCCCAGGCCCAGGGAGGCGAGCTGTGCTCCAGCTGTTCCCAGGAAAGCCACCCGACTCCGGCAGAGACCAGAGCTGCTCTGTGGCTAGGGCACAGGACTGTCCATCACCCTATAGAGGTCTCCTTTCCTAGGCCCTCAACCACTCCCTCTTTACTTGTGGAATCTCCTGTGTGCTTCGTTAATAGAGACCTTCTCTTGACCTTGCCCCCACTACTCATGTTTCTGCTCTAAGCCCAACTTCTTTCTAGAGTAATTCACATGCTTGTCCCACTGTATCTTCCCCCTAACGTCTCAGTGTGTGTGGCCAACTGGCCCGCAGCCCAGCCTCTGCCTGTCCTTTCCAGAACTACCCAGGCAAAGATGGGCCAATTACGCAGCCCCTAGCTCTACCAGTGCTGTTCATCTGCTTGCCTGTGAACCACCATAGCAGTGTGCTGAAAACTCTCTTTGCACCTGATTTTTAAATGATCCCAGCTTCCGCTGTACCTCATCTACTCTGGCTTCTCTTCTACTTTCCCTGTACACCATGGCACTTTCTTAAGAACCAAACTTAGTTCACCGGAATTCCTCTAGAACACAGTAAGAAACACAGACAATAGTCTTTTGCTTTTCTCAGGCCATATCCTCATCTCAGGTAATTTCACTTATGACTCTTAACTAGATATACCTGACTACCCAGCGCCACACACCAGCATTCCTCTCCCAGGTACAAAGGTAGCTGTGCTTTCTCTAAGTTCTTGTGACATTTGAGCATGTCTGCTTTTATTCAACAATGCATCCCTGCTCCCAGCATGATGTCTAGCACTAACCCTTTATTTACACGTTAGTGAACAAATGAAGTAGATATACATTTATATTACACATAGTGGGAAATGCACTGAAAGGAAAGAACAGAATGCTGTAAGGGAACCGAGCAGCCACTGCTCTCTCTGGGGAAGTCACTGTGGACCCAAAGATGAAGAATGTGCCAGTTGGGAAAACCATTCCAGTTGGAAGAAATCTCATGAGACAGTCCAGGGCAGGAAGAAAGCAGAGGCCAGTTCCGGGGACTAAGTGCTGGTCAGATCACCACAGTGCTTCTCTGGCTGCTACAGATGGGAGCCTGGGGAGGGAGCTGGGGAAAGAGGTGTGAAGGCCTGGCTCCTGGAGAGGACAGCGGATAAGCGAGATCACAGAGGGCAGCTGGTGGGAGGGCCCACTTGCTTTTATGATTAACTTGTTATGGAAAGTTAAGACATTTCAAGGACTCCGGGTGGTAGGTAAGATCACAGGCAGAGGATGGGGAGAGAAGTGGGCTTGTGGCTGTGACCTAAACTGTAAGCTTTGGATGCCTGTAGTGGAGGTGAGATGTCAAGGACACAAGCTGAACAATCAGTTGGCTGGCAAGAAGGTCTGGGCAACAGAAGTCTAGCTGGGAGTTGCGATGTTTAAAGCTACGGCAATGAATGGGCTACCAGACCAGACAGAAGAGGGCCTGGAAGCAAGCCCCAGCAGCGTGGCAGAGGAGGAGGAATGGACATAGGAAACCTAAACCACTTTCTGCGCCATCTCCACGCCATTTCCTCCGTCCAAATATGACCGCTGGTCGCTCTAGCTGGAAACCAGGAATTGCCTCAATTTCTTCTGATCCTGGCTGCTCACCCACACCTCTAGATGTCTTTATCCTATCCCTGGTCGTACCCTGCCCTTGCCTGGCTCTTCCCTGTGATCCAGATTCTGCAGCTCTCCTACCTGGTTTCCTGCTCTGGGCTCGCACCCCTAATTTATCCTCAGCGCCTGGCTGTCACAGTTTTTTCTGCTATGCCTTTTGTCCCAGTATAATCATTAAAGTCATTTCTACAAGAAAAAATGAAGCATTAAGCTCCTGGAGCTTTTCCCAGAGTCTGTCAGATTCGGTCAAAATAATTTAACCCAGGGATACAGCACAGGGATGAACTGGAGCCAGAGTCAGAAACACCTCCACCAATGAGCTGTATAATTAGGGGAGACATGTTCCCCAACCTTTCCCAGTCTCAGCACTGCTGCTAGACCCTGTTCTCTCAGGGGTGGGGTTGAGGGGGAAGTAGACCAGGTTCATAGAGTGTCTGGTATCTGAAGGGGGTTCAAGCGCCCCCTGCTGGGAGCTTTTATGCCATTTTCCTACACAACCCCCGAAATCCAACTGGACAAACCGGCTGCCTCTTCCAAAGACATGACTTCATCCTCCCTCCTTCTCTCTGTCCCCACAGCTCCAGTCCCCGGTAAACTCCTCAATTCTTGTAAACCTCCATTTTTTAACTACTTCAGAGAAGTCTTAGACTCTGGTTCCCACCTGCCTGCCGGGCTAAGCAGGCTGCCTCCCACTCTGAGCCTGAGATGCTCCACAGGCAGATCCCAGGACACAGTGCCACACTGTTTGCCAGCTTTTCTTGGGACAGGGATGGGGGGAGGACACACCCCCAGCATCCCACACACTGAGGGCTGTGGGAGCTGTGCCCATGCAGTCTCTGACCTGTGACCACCAGCTCAGGTGGTGCCAAGTGCCTCACCTACCACCCAGGGTTGGCCAGTGCAGTGTCTGGCACCCAGAAGCTGGTTAATACCCCAAAGGACAAAATGACTGCCACCACAAAACAGCAAGTGACCACGTCTACTTTGCAGGGATGTAGTGACAGTGATTTTTGCAGTGAGTCAGCCTGTAGCTAACAGGCTAATTTACAAGTCAGTCTTTTTTTTTTTTTTTTAAATGTATTTGGTACAGAGTTTCACTACCCAACTCGGACTCATACCGATTCTCCTGTTTTCAGCCTCCCTAGCGCTGGGATTACAAATGTGTGCCACCACTCCAAGTTTCAGTGGCTGGCTCAGCATGCCCGGCGAGCCACATGGTATGGGGGACCGAACCCTGATACCTGCGCTTGCCTTAACAGGCACTTAGTTGGCTGAGCTATCTCACTGGCCCCTAACAGGCTAATTTAAACAGCATGCCACTGTGTTACTGCTGTAGTTGTCAGAAACTACAATCATAAAATGGGCCTGATTTCCAATTTTAATAATGGTGATCTGGAACTAAACATTCAAATTTTGAAAAAATTAGTAATGCTCTAGACTTTCATTTTGTTTCTTTAATTCAAAATTCTTAAACTCAAGGTTAAATTCCACCAAAGAAAAAACTATTTTGTGGATAACAGAAACAATTTAGGAAATTCACTAAAAGATTTGGGCCACATGGGTAATATATGATTTCATTCAAAAATCAGGACCCAGAAAAACTTCAATGTTAAGAGAGTTTTCTTGAGGAAACGGCTACAGCAGGAAACAGAGACAAGGTCCAGCGTGACTCTCCAGGATCACAGCTGCTCCAGGGGACCTGACAGGGCGGAGCCTCTGTCTCACAAAGGGGGTGGGCGTGAGGGTGGGGGTGTCGACAGCGATGAACACTTCTCCGAGGGGCCAGGACAGCCTGGGCAGGGCTACTGGTGGGTTTTAAATTCTTTATTTGGTTCTCTAGTAGCCTGCAAAAAAAATTTACATGCATTTTACACTAATAATTTATTATTCAGAATTCAGATAAGTTTCATATGGACAAGAAACAAAAAAGAATTTCTTTTTTTTTTTTTTCTCCAAATGCCTTCAGGGCAGGTTTGGCTGGCTTGAGTTGTGGGGATGGAACCACAGCCACCTGAGGCTGACTGCTTTGTTGAAGCAGCCACTTAAAGAGCTGAGCTAAGGGGCAGGCCCCCAAGAATTTCTCATTTACCTCAAAGCTGCCATCAACAGTTTTTAAGGGATGATATTGTCTAGTGCCAGAACTTTTTTAGAGAAAAAATTTCAGTTATTTATAGATCATACAAAAAGTATTTGTTACGTTTTTCTTTCTTAAAAAATTTTGCCTTTATTTTTTAAAATCAATACACACTTGCAGTTTGTAATGATTACAGTCTTCCTGGGGAGTTGATACAAAACACATCTGAATTCTGTTTTTCATTTTGCTCTCTCCCCCTCCTTCTTGCATCCTTCCCATTCTTAAGTGGTCCTGCTTATTGGGAATGATCTTCAGAAACTCATTCTAGTTAATAAA